GTAAACAATATTTCCTGTTTAGTGTAAAATGAGTAAAAGGCACCATTATGCCCGAACCAGTAACAACAAATAGAGGAAATTTTGATACTGTTGAAGTTAAATATACTATTCAAAAAAAGTAGGGGATATTTGATTTTGGGGGCATAATACTAAAATATGCAAATGACTACGAAAAAAGTCACTATAGAACCTAACAGAAGAAACATTTCCAGTTCCATGTGACGCCCAAACGCACCAATAGCTACCGCATGGAATGCAGGTGATGCTTGGGATCATCATGGGGGTCCAACCCAAGATTTGCACGACTCTGACTTTGAATGTTACAGTCATTGTGGCATTGAATTCCAGGGTGGAAACATCAGTTTAATTGTTTTAGTGACCAGAAAACAAATTTTGATATGCGTCGGCTTACCCAAAATGAAAGGTTACATGCCCTTGGCATGCTACAGATCGGCACAACACAGGCGGTTGTGGCGCGGACGATGAATGTTTCTCAGTCTGTCATAAGCAGGCTATGGTCCAGATACCGTGATACACAATCTGTACAGGACAGACCACGCTCAGGTCGACCAAGGGCGACAACTCAAGCCCAGGATCGATTTATCCGTACCTTGGCCTTGAGAAATCGTGTCATCACAGCAAATCAGATCAGCGCTTGTCTTCAAACAGACACTGGTGTGAGAGTGAGTGGCCAGACGATTCGGAATCGACTGCATAGGGGTCACCTTCGCGCCCGACGTCCTCGCGTGATCCCTTATTTGAGAGATCATCACATTCAGGCAAGACGTCGTTGGTGTAGGGATCGTCAACACTGGGATAATCGACGCTGGAGCAATGTGATGTTTTCAGATGAGTCAAGGTTCACTGTTGATTTTTTGGACAGACGTAGGAGGGTGTGGCGTCGTCGAAACGAGCGCTTCCAAGACATTAACGTCATCAGACATGATCGATTTGGGGTGGTTCTGTTATGGTGTGGGGAGGCATCACTGTTGCTGGAAGAACGGCTTTACATGTTGTTGCAGGGCGTGTTACAGGCCAGTACTACCGGGACAACATCTTGGCAGTCCATGTTGTGCCGTTCGCACGACGTCATGGCCGCCGTTTCATCTTCCAGGATGACAACGCAAGATGTCACAGGGCCAGGATCGTTACAGGTTACCTCCAACAACAGAACATCACCACATTACCTTGGCCAGCACTGAGTCCCGACCTCTCCCCCATCGAGCATGTCTGGGACATGCTTGGACAGAGGTTACGTCAACGTCAACAACGTCCTGCCAATGTCCAAGAACTTGCTGCTGCGTTGCAACAGGAATGGGACAATCTGGACCAAAATGACCTTAGACGTCTCATTAGGAGTATGCCACGTCGGATCAATGCTTGTTTGGCAAACAGAGGAGGATTTACCCGTTACTGACTTGGTTGTGATGCTGTGGTAACTTTGCTGTTTGACCCCGGGTATCATTTTACCCTTATAATGAATGGTCAGTCTGTGCCTTACTTAGTCTAACGATCATTTGGAATAAATCGATGAATGTGAACTTCATTTCATTTTGTCATTTGTTTCTTCGTCAGTTTCATTAGGTGACTTTAATAACACTTAAAAATCAAATATCCCCTACTTTTTTTGAATAGTATAATTTAATTTAAATCACAAGATGTTTGTTTTTGAGCAAGGGAAGATTACCTTTTGGCTAATCTCTTAACCGCTTGTCCGAAGAGCTTGGTCAGTGACTCACCGGAAGCAGTCACTGGTGGCAGAATTACCTTCGCTGATACCAGACCTCTTGTTAGAGGACACTAAAGACTCAAAAATGAAACAATAAATCGTATGACCAAGAGAGCTAAATCAAATTTGCTGGCAGCTACATCTAACTGAAACCCCTTTGATATACATGTAGTATACTGTTTGTATGAATGTATGTAATATGTATTATTAACTGTATATGACTATGTCTAAGTGTATATGTATGCATGCTGTCCATAATGGACATGGGGTGTGGTTTCGAATCCCCTGTTTTATGTGACAAGGATTAGTGTCGCCTGTCCAACCTCGTGGGTTTTCTCAGGGTCCTCCGGATTCCCCCCACTCCTAAAGACCCCTACGCACAAGGAAGTTATTGAAATAATAAAAAAAATTAAACCATATGTTAGTCCCGAAATGACCTTGTTTGTGTCGAGTGGACCTTAAACCCCATTTCTCTCTCTCCATCTCTCTCTCTCATAATGGACGTTTTGATGCAATGAACATCTTATCTTACCTATTGACATCTCCTGATTTAGTTTCATGTAATACCAAAGAACAGTTGGATGTATGTATAAACAACACTAGAATGGTTGCACTACTGATGTCTTCTCCGTCTTTTCCAAGCTGTTCGATACTTTTTTGACCGTATCTACTTGAATACCCCAGGCTAGATAAGGCTAAGCATTGACATGAACACAAGAACAATAGAACCGCTCTTTATTCGCTTCCACTTCCCCGGATGAGAATCCGGGAGATAACTCCAATTAAGGGTGACAGGGTTATTATACAACACAAGCCACAGTAGTGGACCATCCTAAGGCCTTCCTTTGCACAAGGTTTTTAGTCAGCTGACTACAAAAAGGTTACTGGCTCATACCTTCCTTAATATCCACATAGACTGACCCCGAACTATACTGCACAAAGCTTAACATATAATAAACCAATTCCCATTGAAATAAAGGTGAATGCCTTACTGCATTATTATATGATTTAATGAAACCCAACTGCTACGCAAAATTCATCTCCTATCCAATGCGAGGTCGGATAGCTGAATGGTTAGCATCTGCGCGCTGTATCACAAGGTCTGCCATTGAGTCAACTGGTGTGGTTTTGATTCCCCAGTTGTACGTGACAAGGAGTAGAGTCGCCTGTCCAAGGGATCTTTTACATGCACGCCAATGTTTACACGGGACCTCGGTTTTTCGTCCCATCCGAACGATTAGACAGCTGTCCTTGTCAGGCTCTCCGTCCTGCATCAATGACAAGGGGAAACTACGGAAAATCTGGATGCACTTGCTCGGCCAATGCAGGGATCGAACACCCGACCTCCAGGCTAGTGAGCCAGCGTCTTACCCACTTAGCCACCGTGATCCCTTATTGCATTATTGATATGTGTTGACAATTCTTCATTTGAACCTATTTGTACTTGCCTAAGGCCTCTTATAATATAGACTGTAGGTCTAGTTAAATATTATTGTGTTTTTATTCTGTGAACAACAAAAAATCATTCTACATTTCATATTTAACCAACACTATCACTGTAATATCTAATATTTAATACCAATGATAAAATTTATAAATAATAATAATAATAAGTGATTTATATAGCCCCAACAATTCAACTCAGCGAGCTGTTCTGGGGCGCTTTACATAAGTACAACTAATATAAAATTACAACAATCACAACACATTAATCCATAAACATAAACTGGATAACATTATTTAGTACACTTTCCAGCACTGTAAGCTAAGCTAATTATTGAAACAAATAACAAATTGAATCTCATTTTACTCCTTGTTTGTGTTGAGTGGACATTACTCTCTCTCCTCTCCTCTCGTTGGGTGGACATTAAAGATACATTCGTTAAGAGCTAAATAAGCCTATTGCAAGTCCTTCTATTGGCTTCAAATGTTATAGAAATTATTAAATAGACCTTTATTTACATAACAAGCACAAAAATCAACTCAGTAGACCCTCGGACGACTTGGATACAGTTTGGATTTAATTACAATTTAAATCATTAAATGGCTGAGCAGGCTAACGTTTACTGTTAATCACTGGCGTCACCCGATGAAGGACCTGACAATCGAGGATACAGTAACCACTGAGAATGTTACTTGGTAACCGAGAATATGTGGGTGGAGATATACACCAATCCTCGGAGACGGTGCAGAGACGGTTTATGCCTATTTCTAGTCCATACTTCCAGCAGTGATAACTTCTCATTCATAATTAAATCAAGAAATGGATAATCGATACTACATGTATGTTTTTATTGTACCGTCTTTAGTAATGATGATTGAGGCTAGGTCAAAATTTCAATCGCTAAATCTCAGTTTAAAGTGGAGCAATTTGACTGAAATTTTCAGCAAATTCCCCTTTCATTATGCAGTTTTTAACTATTATAGTGAGAACTGCCAGCTCTTTATCTAATCTCCCATAACACATCTTTAACTTATGGTGGCTGAAAGCGTCCATTTAGATATAACGCGAGAGTCGCCGTTAAGCCAGCACGACGAAAAAGGCGCCGATCGGCGACTTTTTCGTCGTACTACCTTATCGGCGACCCGCGACTTTCACAACACGAGAGTCGCCGTTAAGCCACGCGCCGAAAAAGTCGCCACCATATTAACTAGTGTTTCGCTTTCCCCCTCTCTCTCTAGCTGGAGGCAACCCTACTCCTTGTTCTAACCCCTGATGTACACAGGTTACTGACTTTATTATGTACATTGCATGCTTTAGACCACTCAACTCAGAAAGGTATAATTCAGGAGGGTCAAACATGCGGCCCGCGGGCCAGTTCCAGCCCACCAAGGTTTTAAATGTGGCCCTTAGAACAAATTTCAACAAACTGATGTGTCGATAACTCTTAGATACTAGCAGTGGAAATTATTAGAACTTGGCCTGGCCTTAGGTTTTTATTCAGGAGGGTCAAACATGCGGCCCGCGGGCCAGTTCCAGCCCACCAAGGTTTTAAATGTGGCCCTTAGAACAAATTTCAACAAACTGATGTGTCGATAACTCTTAGATACTAGCAGTGGAAATTATTAGAACTTGGCCTGGCCTTAGGTTTTTGAATGTTAACAATGTTTTTGTGGTTGTTTCTAAAAGAATTCAGTGTAAAATTTAAACAAAATGGCTAATTTGGTCCATTTCAAAGTATTGTATTGAGTTATAAGTTTAGTTCATGTGACCCCTGAATTGAAATGAGTTCGATACCACTGGTATAACTCATACACGGATGCGCCAAAGTTAATCTAGCTACAGAAATGATAAAATTAAGATGAGGAAACGGAGTGGAGGAGGGGGGGGGGCTGTTAAACTTCGTAAGGGAATGTTGATGCAGTTAAAGAAACTGGAAATGGTTGATTTAGCTCGAATTCATGATATTTCCAACCAGGGTATCGAGAAATAATGCCCTCAAAAGTGACACCTCAAATGTTCATGGAAATGTCAATGTCATCATATTATAATTGCCCTAATGAAAATATTGTGCCCTCTTTTCCTAACACCCTTCCCTTGTTTAAACCGGCAAATAGATCTTGCGAAACTAGTAAAAACCAATCACACTCAATGATGATTACATTAAGTTGCCTTAATTACAACATAGATGCCTACATGTACATCACGTTTAATGTAATATTGTACTACTATACGGATGACTACAGCATGTATCATATAATATTGTACCATATTAACTTTACCATAGACAGTCAGATTCAAAATACATACACTAATCATGATTTACTACAAACATCATATTTATTATGGTTTTTCTTCCCACTACTCATGGTGAATGATTTATTACAACATCACATTTATTATGGTTTTTCTGGTATGAATTCTCATGGATCTTTTCAGATAACTAGCCCTGGTGAATGATTAACCACAGATAACTAGCCCTGGTGAATGATTAACCACAGATAACTAGCCCTGGTGAATGATTACCCACAGGTAACTAGCCCTGGTGAATGATTAACCACAGATAACTAGCCCTGGTGAATGATTACCCACAGATAACTAGCCCTGATGAATGATTTACCAAAGGTAACTAGCCCTGGAGAATGATTTACTACAGGTAATAAGCTCTGGTGAATGATTTACTGCAGATAATAAGCCCTGGTGAATGATTTGCTGCAGATAATAAGCCCTGGTGAATGATTTACCACAGGTAACTAGCCCTGGTGAATGATTTACCACAGGTAACAAGTCCTGGTGAATGATTAACCACAGATAATTAGCCCTGGTGATTGATTCACCACAGATAACAAGCCCTGGTGAATGATTTACAACAAACATCACAATTTACATGTTTTTTCTCGCGTGTGAATTTTCTTATGTACCTGCAGAGTATTATTCCGAATGAACGATTTACAACAAACAGCACATTTAAAAGGTTTCAATCCAGTATGAAGTCGCTTGTGTGATTGTAGAATAAAATTCTGTCTAAAAGATTTACTACAAACATCACATTTATAAGGCTTTCCCCCAGTATGAATTCTCATGTGGCATTTCAGGTAACTGCTCCGCGTGAATGATTTATTACAAACAGTACATTTACATGATTTTTCACCTGTATGAATTCTCATGTGGTCCAGTATACCTCCATTGTGAGCGAACAATCTACTGCATATGCCACATTTATATGGCTTTTCACCTGTATGAATTCTCATGTGTTGCCGTAGGTTACCCCTCTCTGTGAATGATTTACTACAAACATCACATTTATATGTTTTTCCACCAGTATGAATTCTCAGGTGTATTCTTAGATGACAGTTCTTATTAAACGATTTACTACAAACATAACATTTAAATGTATGAGTCTTTATGTGTTGCTGCAGTGCATGACTATCAATGAATGATTTACTACAAACATCACATTTAAAATATTGTTCTGCACTATGAGTCTTTAAGTGTTGCTGCAGAGCATGACTATCAATGAATGATATACTACAAACATCACATTTAAAAGTTGTTTCTACACTATGACTTCTTGTATGTTGTTGCAGATTAATAATGTCAGAGAACCATTCATTGCAAACATCACATTTAAAAGGTTTTATTCTCGTATGCGTTCTCCTGTGTTGCTGCAGGCCACTGTTATGAGTGAATGATTTACTACAAACATCGCACTTAAAGGGTTTTTCACCAGTATGAACTCTCCTGTGTTGCTGCAGACCACTACCATCACTAAATGATTTACTACAAACATCACACGTAAAGGGTTTTTCACCTGTATGAATTCTGATATGTCTCTGTAGCGATCCTCTTTGAGTGAATGATTTACTACAAACATCACATTTATAAGGTTTTTCACCTGTGTGAGTTCTAGTGTGTCTTTGTAGAAAAATATTTCTATTGAATGATTTACTACAAACATCACATTTATAAGGGTTTTCCCTAGAATGAATCTTGGAGTGTTGCTGCAGTTCACTATCGTCATCAAATGATTTACTACAAACATCACATTTAAAAAGGTTTTCGTCAGTATGGCGCCGCATGTGAATTTGAAGAAAATCTTTGTTAATAAATAATTTACCACAAACATCACATTTGTAGAGTCTCTTTACAGTATGGGTTTTCATATGATTTTGTAAGTAATATTTGTTAATAAAGGTCCTGCTACAAACATCACACTTTTTAAACTCTTCTGGGTTGTGAACCTCTTTTTCATTATTCTCACTAAAACTTGTCTCCCAATTTTTACCATGTTGTAAAACAGGTTCCTCTTTCTTAACATGTACTTCACAATGTTTTTCTAAATCAGTTTCAGATTTAAATTCTTCATCACATAAATTACACTGATAAATGGCTTCAATATCGTCAGTTTTCTCTTCTTTAACATGACAATATTCATATGCATCATCAATTTTCTCCTTTTTAATAAATTGAACATGACAATATTCATCTACATCATCAGTTTTCTCTTCTTTAAAATGAACATGACAATATTCATCTACATCATCAGTTTTCTCTTCTTTAACATGACAATATTCATCTACATCATCGCTTTTCTTTTCCCTGGCATGGACTTTGTAGTGGTTTTCTAAATCGTCTAATTGTTGAAAAATCTCATCACATATTGTACATTGCTGAAAAGTTTCCTGCAATATATAAAAGTTATAATATTATTAGTTTCCTGTAATATATAAAAGTTATAACATTATTAGTTTCCTGTAATATATAAAAGTTATAACATCATTAGTTTGCTGTAATATATAAAAGTTATAACATCATTAGTTTGCTGTAATATATAAAATATATAACATTATTAGTTTCCTGTAATATATAAAAGTTATAACATTATTAGTTTCCCGTAATATATAAAAGTTATAACATCATTAGTTTGCTGTAATATATAAAACTTATAAAATCATTAGTTTTCTGTAATATTAACGACAGACTTGACCTATTCAAAATGCCTACGCATGTTAAATGAAATAAAAATTAATGTCATAAAATTTTGAATGTACAGAAAGGATTATCATTTTTAAAGGGAATAACATTCTGGTGATTCGAAGTTCTATGTTCGAAGCTACATTATAATAATACTTCCGGTTTTCGAAGTTACAATATTTCCGGTTTTGAGAAAACTGCGTATTTCGACACTCTGCATAATCCGACATATTGTAACGATTCCGTACGATGTCGGATGTGACAGAGTGTACTGTAACACCCTTCTTACCCGTATTGTTAGATGTATGTCATCCCATGGGCACATTATCTTAATATTAAAGCAGTTGGCATTGGCTACCAGTCATTGTACGAATAGAATTTAAAATATAATGCCTAACTTTTCTGTGTTTGTATGATCCCTCTAGAACTAAATCCCTGTCTGAGCTTATCAACCCATATAATCCCACTAGTCCTAAATCCTGGTCTGTGCTTATCAACCCATATAATCCAACTAGCCCTAAATCCCAGTCTGTGCTTATCAACCCATACTATATCCTCTCGTTCTTTAGAGGGACATTATGGAGAGAGAGAGAGAAATGGGGTTTAACATCCACTCGACACAAACTAGGTCATTTTGGGACCAACACATGGTTCAACTTTATTTCAACAATTCGCTTGCGCGTAGGGGTCTTTAGCAGTGGGAGGAAACCGGAGGACCCGGAGAAAACCCACGAGGTTGGACAGGCGACCCTACTCCTTGTCACGTACAACCAGGGATTCGAAACCACGCCAGTTGACTTAATGACAGGTCTTATGATACAGCAGGCATTATGGAAGATTAGATAAAAAGCTGGCAGCTCTCACTATAATAGTAAAAAAGAAATAGTAAAAAATAGTAAAAGAGAAAGAAAGTGAAATGGTGTTTAGATATACACTAGTTAAAGATATGTTATGGGTGATTAAAGAGCTGGCAGTTCTCAATATAATTGTTAAAAACTACATTATGTAAAGGGAATATGCTAAAAATTCCAGTCAAACCGAGATATTAGCGACTGAATTTTAGGCCTAGCCGCGATCATCTTTACTAAAGTCGATCCACGGCGTGGAATACGATCATACAACAGTTTACCAAAAAGGAAAACTGAGATATTGAGCAAATTTGATCCGGATCAAGGATCCTTGAAAAGATCTAGTCTCTATGGTTCATCCTTTTATGACCTCACTGCTTCCAACCTTGCCCCCAAGTTCACAAAGCATTCTCAGACTTAAGTTAAGAATCTACTCAAAATTGTTCACCTTATTTTAATTAAAATATAGCCCTTTATATATATTTTTTTTTATTGTTTTAATGTACCAAATACATCAATAAGAAACTATGTGCAAAGTTTTATGTTTCCGGATCAAAGATATTTCTCATGAACAGTGATTGAAAGTTGAGTAAATTCTTAACTTAAGTCTGAGAATGCATTGTGAACTCGGGTCCAAATCTGTTAAAAATAGCCTCTATTGAGTACACAAGGTTTTCGGCAGGTAAACAAAGGCTGCAGATTATGAATATCGATTGGGATCAATGACCCATCTGCTTCAAGTCACATACGAAAAAAATCCATTTAAACTATAGCCTTTATAGCGTTCACACAATATGATTTGTAGTGAATTTTAAAAATCATAAAATATAAAAATTAGCCACAAATAAAATTTGAAATAGATTAATGTGTGCGTTTGCATTTTTTAATACATAATATTAAACTTTATATAGTGGTTAAATATCAATTTATAAAAACCATAATTATAAACAAGCACAATCAGAGGCGGATAACTCGCTGCGGATCTTTTTGTGTGACGTCAACGCATGGTGTCGATAACAAAATGGAAATGGACGAAAATAATGTAAATATTGGAAATAAGTGGCTCTGATACTGTTTTGTGGGAATATTTATGCAAATCAAAATGACTAGATTGAAGAAAAAAAATATCTGAGTGAATTGGCAGAGGTTAAATTGCCTAACATTATGAATTGTTGAATAAAACCGAGTCGAGGCGAGAGCAGGTAAAATCGATGCTTCAACAGGCATTGCATTCCTGTTCTTTTTTATTATATATTGTCTGGTTGGACATGGTGTATGCATATATTATACGGATAGAAGGTCAGACTCCTGTGTTTGCACAAAGCCTCGAATATTGTATCAATTGTAGCCGTCGATAAGAATTATCACGGCTACAAATATTGCAGCTACCAGAGTGGGACTTCCGACTTGACAGCTGGAATTTTAATCTGGGCGAAATTTCCTTTGTCTTCACTTCTCACTAGCCCAGATGGCGGAGACATATAGAATGTTAAACTCTATCTTATATTGTTTAAAATCACCACTCACCATTCTGATGCTGTCACCAGCAAGTGTTAATGTTTACAACTTTAGAGAAAGTTCAAATGTTTCAGTTTTATATTCAGAAGGCAGCTCGCGCTGACCTCTTTCTGTCAAATTCTCGCGTTCATTTCCGGAACAATTTGGAGATAGCAAAATATTGATTCAGGACGTGGATCTAGCCAGCCCGAATAACTCAGAAATTATAATCGATATCCCCAGATTTAGTTTCGACTAAAATCAGTTGTATTTCTGTAACACCATATATTAAAGTGTTTTATTCAATCAACAAACAAAAAATCATTATACATTTCATATTTAGCCAACGATAAAATTAACATCCATCTTTCTAAATCTATCCATTGATAAAATTTAAAAAAAAATATAAAAAATAGTAATAGATTTACTGTTGCTGGGGGATTGTATGGCCGAATGGTTAGCACGTGCTGTATCATAAGGTCTTTCATTGAGTCAACTGGCGTAGTTTCGATTCCCCGGTTGTACGTGACAAGGAGTAGGGTCGTCTGTCAAACCTCGTGGGTTTTCTCCAGGTCCTCCGGTTTCCTCCCACTGATAAATACCCCTACTTGCAAGCGAATTGTTGAAATAGAGTTGAACCACATGTTAGTACTGAAATGACCTAGTTTGTGTCGAGTGGAGTTTAAGCCTCATTTCTCTCCTCTCTTTACTGGTGCTCAGTTGTGGAATTAAGAACCACAGGCACTTGAAGGGATTAGTGTATATCATATTTCAATTTTGATAAGAGACCAAGTCTTGTCTTCTTTAGACATGTTTACATTATTTGCTTTTGGGGGTATGTAGTGCAGTGTGTGTGTAGACTAGTGTATAAAGTGTGGAATTGTATTTTCTTTTAAATATTCATCTGTATAAATAGTTTTATACTTTCGTCTTTGAAGCCGACAACCACCATTCATGAATTGCCTAGGCTGGATAGATCCAGTACTCTATTCAACATACAACTACATTCTTGCTTCAGTTAGAGGCTCACTTCCGGATCTGTAGTGTACCGGAAATGTACTTCTAAACGAACAAAAGATTTTTTTCCTCCTCGTTTTCCAGTTGAGAAATAACGTTTCTGTGGAAATTGACGTTAAACTGCAACAAAGACAATTTACCGAACGATTGGCCATTACTTGGCTTGCTCTAGCAGTATTTACAAACAAATATAATATATTTTCTAATAGAATAATGGTGTGTCGTTTATGAGTAGGGGTTTCACATCACGTGACATTAGTCATTTCTTAGGTATTACATGTAAAACTGTATGTCGGACGATTGACCATTCGCTAACTGTGGAAGAAGTGTACACACTAAGTAATGGTAAGTATTAGCATAATCTACCGTCATCTCCAAACCATTATCTCAAAACCGTTTAACGCAGTACGTTGATCCGGCTACTCTGGAAAATAGGGTTAGGGTTAGAAGTCAAAAAGTAGCCGGGTCAACTTACTAGGCCAACTGTTTCACCCTACGAAAATTTATGGGTTCTTTCACCGGGTTATGGACATACACTGATACAGCCGGTAGCCGTCATTTTGGTCCCGCGTCATTTCGGACTCAACACAGACAACCTTTCGGACTCAGTTTAACGACGGTTCAGACTTTACTTGACGACTTTTCGACTCGGATGAATAATTAATAGACTGTTGAACATTTGTGTGATATATTTGTAACAGCTGATTTTTATTTTTTTTCATTTTATGTGAGTCCGATAGTTGTTTTGTACATTTGTTTTATTTAATTGATCGGCGATTCTTGAGACCGCTAATACTGATTTTGCACTGCTTGTTCTATTTAGTTTTGTTACATCGTATTACTAGCTGTTGTATTGTAATAGCTTAATATCAATCTCAATATCTGCAAAGATTCAGGCTCGATAATAATAATTGTCGAAATGTAAGTGAAATTACCACAGGAAAATACCACTCTGACGTCATCCGGCTGGGGATTTTCCATCAACGGGAATTGCTACGACTCACTTCATTGGTGAATCAGCAAATTTGCCTACTTTTTTCGCGGTATATCCACATTATAAATATTTGACATCATTCAAATTATTACAATTTTCATAAATCTTAGCGTACTATAACGTGCAGATTTCAGTTTTAAAATTGGTACTAGCGATTCTGAAGGGAAAATACCGCTTATTACGTCACTCTCAGATTGGACTGAAAAGCAATTATTTTGGTGCCATGCCACACATTGACTGGTATAGAACATTTTGATTACATTATTATCGTCTATCTCCAATTTTAAAATTCCATAACTTTGAATCTAATTAGAATATTTTGATGAAATACAATTTTGGGGGTAGCATTTTATGTACATTTTCAAAAAATGTTTTTAAAACATTTTTTTCTGTCATTTGAAACTTTGACCTGAAACCCCTATAAGAATGCCAGTTAATTCGTTCAAACAAAAAGTCTGGTTATGTCGTCCACTAATATCAAAACGCATTGGTTGAGTCGTCCACAAGCCGTTGACTCGTCCACACGACAGAGTTTGATTTCAGGATGTCATATAGAATTACATTGGTTAACCCATAAGTGCATAACCATTTTTTTTTCCCAACCCCCTTTTGTGCATAAGCCTAATTTCTGGCATTGCGACGGAAATTGGTGCTAAATACAAAATTGAGGAAAAAAGTATTTTCTGACAATGACAAACCCTACAAAGTATATATATTTAGAAAGAGTATAAAAATGGCTTTCTGAATCTGTAAAGAAAATAAGGGAAATATTTTTTACATGAATGTAGGTGGGGGTAGAATTGACAACTTGAAATCAGGAAAAAAAAAAAATAAGTTCCCACTTCTGAGTGCAATAAAAAATATTTATTGATGCAGAATGTTAGAAATGAAGTATGCTGCTTTCAGAGGCATCTCTTTGGAACACAATACAGAATTTTTTTTTTGAAAATATCCAATAACTTTTACAACAGCAATTGGAGGAAACCGGAAAAACCGAAGAAAACCCACGAGGTTAGACAGACGACATCATCATCCGAGTCACTACTACATTTTGTACACTCATCAAACCATAGATTATGATCAAACACACTGAACCGCAGCACAAATATCTACGATTTCTACGTGAAGCAAAAAACTGGACAAAAAAACACACTCTGTAGCGTAATCCAACTCACACAGTATTCCTTGGCAACTATGAATGGGATCCTGTACAAATCATGTCTTAAATCGGTGAAAAGTTACAGAAATTTTACTCAAAACATTGACAGGACGGCCATGCTGGATTTAGACAATGGCGTCAAAAGGGGATTTCCTGTGGAACCACCTTTAGTGTGGTAAATTCAAACTGTTAAAAACGATACGGGAAATTCCGTAGCCATGCAATTTCAGCCTTGGTTTACTCTACGACGTAGGCCGTAGCCATGCACTTCTTGGTTAAGTCATCCACACAACATTGTGTAATGTTAGGGACACAGAAAGTATTCATAGTCAGTACGGTATAATTAGTGTACTAAGTAGTGCTTTTATCATCATACCTGCCTAGGTTTCATAGTGTTTGATATGAGTATAATTTTCTTTGCGTCAAATGACAGACTACATGTATCATTCGCCAACACAACACAACAATAAATCACTCTTTTAATAGTCCTGATACACTTTTTTCCCCGTTATTTATATACATGTACATGTAATTCCCATTTTTGAAATATGTTATCACGAAATGTGTCAAACTTCTTTCTTGCATACGCTTTACCTACCGTTTGTACGTGACAACACATGTGGCCTGTCCAACCTCGTGAGTTTTCTCCGGTTTCCCCCACTGCTAAAGACCCCTATATGTATACGTGCTGTGTCATACGGTCTGTCATTGAGTCAACTGGCGTGGTTTCGATTCCCTGGTTGTACGTGACAAGGAGTAGGGTCGCCTTTCCAACCTCATGGGTTTTCTCCGGGTCCTCCGGTTTCCTCCACTGTTAAAGTCCTCTATGCGCAAGCGAATTATTGAAATAAAATTAAAACCATATGTTAGTCCCGAAATAATCTAATATGTGTCGAGTGGACATTAAACAATTTTTAAACGCCCACATTTTCATGTGGACACATTATGCCGTCGCCCCTGTTTGTCCGTCCGGACACTCTACAGGTCACAATTTTTATCCGATTTCAACGAAACTTGAAATATAGGTTTATCTCCTTAAGATCTCAGTTCCTTTCGATATTGGCATGTATCGGACCGTAACTTCATGGATTAAGGCCCCTGATTGTACAAAAATCACATTTTTAGCTTGTGCTCCTTATAGAGGTCACAATTTTTATCTGATTTTGTTGAAACTTGAAATGTAAGTTTATAACCCAAAGATCTCAGTGCCTTTCGATATTCGCGCATATTGCAGGGCATCATTTCTGTAAATCATGCAGGAGTCACAAAAAGCTCTTGCACTTAAATTTCCGGGAGCACATAAAAACGCACCCGCAAATTTGCTCGCAAGAGCTTTTTTTTACCATCTATCCAAATGGTGTAAAAAAAAAACCAGTTAAAAATCTAATTTATTTAATAGTACTTATTCGGAACCATCCAAAAGAACAGTAAAAAATTTGGTTTCATTTTAACATCACAAAGTTTCTTTCTCATTAACATGGCTATTTCGTTGATAAATTCCCTGGCTTTGTTAGAATCCTGAACACCGTCTATTGTAGTTGTACCCCATGTTTTTTCTGAATTTCAATAAAAGATTTGAATGATTTTAGAGGCAAACCGTATGTAGCTACTTTATATGCAGTGGTTATAAGTTTTGTATATGCGTCGTGTGACAATTGTTTTAATTTACTGTCGATCACCGGTTGAGTTCCTTGAGCTGTAGTCGTCGTATTATTAGTAGAACTCGTAGAACTAGATTTAGAAGCATGGTCGGCGATGTCTACAGCTTCATCGATTCCCGTCCCTAGAAGTTTCTCAAAATATATAGCAGCTTTGTGTGTTTTTGAATTTAAATGTCTAAATACAGTATGTTTACTGATAAAAGTTGTCCCCACAACATACTTCTCAAACTCTGTTAATGTTTTGCCTCGTAAGTGCTGAGAACGTGAAACTTTTTTGTGGTGCCGGCAGGGCACAAATTTTGCACCAAATATTAATTACAAATTGGCGACCTTGTGAATCCGTTTTGGTATTAGAAATGAAAATGAAATGAAATGGAGTTTAACGTCCTACTGTTCTGCTCCTAACCTGGGCTAATGAAAACGGGCATACGCCATACAGTGTGCTATGAGGGAAATTTGCCCGGGCAGCGGCACTATCGCCTACTCTTATATCGAATTCCAACTGCCAAGGGATCTTTTACGTGCACGCCAATGTGTATACGGGACCTCGGTTTTTTGTTCCATCCGAACGACTAGACAGCTGTCCTTGTCAGCCCCTCTTGGTATTAGAACCAATTACAGAGTTGACATCCCAATTATTAAATGTGTGTAGTTGTACACAATTTCGGTGTTGAGACATTTTCTAGTCAATATTTCTATTGATTGTATCCAATTTCTAGCAGACGAATACGCTCATTGAACATGCCATTGGTTGTCAAGTACTCGATTTACCGGTCTTATGCTTACAACAGAAAACATTACCTTGGATGTTTGAGTAAATCTCTGGCTCAATGCCAAAGGCGGGAAAGGAATGTATATATACATGTATCGTGATTATCCAGACGCTTTCTATATGACCACAACAGAAATTCATAACGTTATATTTATTCAAATTTCACAATCAAAAACTCTTACAAAACGAACGCCGTAACACGGAAAGCATTTAATTTAAAAACGATCAATCGTTTATTACTAATGTAATACTATCACTAATAAATAATAATCTATCGTGAATGCAACCGTCATGACAACCGAGCTAATAATCTTTAACCCAAATGTCTCGATACCATAACAATAATATTTTTATTTAACTTTTCAAGCTCGACTTTCTTGATAAAACTGTCGAAATTGTCTGAATTTTTAGCAGGAGCTATAACCTGCGCTTGTGTTTATGGCCCCTGATTGTACGAAAAATCACGTTTTTAGCTTGTGGACTCTATAGAGGTCATAATTTTTATCCGATTTAAAAAAACTTTTCAATATATCACCGTTACACCCTAAGGATGGTTGAGTTCGAATTTCGTGAAAATCGACCCAAAACTGACAGACAAAACGGTCGCCCGTTGTACTCAAATAGCATAAAAATATGGTATATCAAGGTTGTTGAACCTCTAGAGGTCACAATTTTCTTCTGATTTTGATGAAACTTGAAATGTAAGTTTATAGACTCAAAGATCTTGGTTCCTGTCGATATTCGCGCATATCAGAACGTAACGTTATGAATTATGGCCCCTGATTGTACGAAAAATCACATTTTTAGCTTCAGGTCCCTCTAGAGGTCACAATTATTATCCGATTACAAAACCATTCAAATATATCACCGTTACACCGTAATTTTGTCTGAGTTCAAATTTTGTGAAAATCGGATTAAAACTGCTGGACAAAATACATGTAGCCGCCCCTTGTACGCAAATATAACATCTGGTATATCAAAGTTGTGGACCCTCTAGAGGTCACAATTGGAGGGTCTAGAGCACAAGTGATCTAACAACCAACTAAAATGGTTGGTAGTTAGATCACTTGTGCTCTAGACCCTCCAATTTTGATGAAACTTGAAATACATGTTTATAACCCAAAGATATTGGTTCCTGTTGATATTCGCGCTTATCGGATCATAACTTCCAGAATTATGGCCCCTGATTGTACGAAAAATCACGTTTTTAACTTGTGATCCCTCAAGAGGTCACAATTATTATCCGATTTAAAAAAATGTTTGAATATGTCACCGTTACACTGTAATTTTGATCGAGTTTGGATAAAACCGTTAAAATATATCACCATTCCACCATAATGAAGGTTGAATTCGAATTTCGGGAAAATCGAAATGAAACTGCCCAATTTTGTAAAAGTATGCAATTCGAAGGTTGTGGACTCTCTAGAGGTCACAATTTTTATCCGATTTTGATGAAACTTAAACTATATCCTTATATGCCAAAGATCTCAGACCCTTTTGATATTTGCGCATTTCAGACCATAACTGTCTGGATTATTGCCCCTAATTGTACAAAAAAAATTCTGTTTGCTTTTAGCTTGTTCTCTATCCATCTCTTGCAAAATGTGGGCGTATCCTGTCTAGCAGCCGCTGGTATATATTTCAAGAAGTTAATGATGTTATAACTTTTATATATTACAGGAAACTAATGATGTTAAAACATGTCATCGGTGTGTTGTATGTGATGAGGTTTTTCAACAATATGATGATTTAAAACAACACCATAAAATGCACATAAAGGAAGAGAAAACTGATGATGTAGATGAAATTTGTCACATTAAAAAAGAGCAAACTGATGATGTAGATGAAATTTGTCACGTTAAAAAAGAGCAAACTGATGATGTAGATGAATATTGTCATGTTCATTTTAATGAAGAAAAGAGTGATGATGTCGATGGACGTTTTCATGTTAAAGAAAAGAAAAGTTGTCATGTTGAAAATATTGAAACTGTTTACGAGTGTGAACTGTGCGACAAACTATTCAGATTAGAATCTGATTTAGAAAAACACTGTGAAATCCATGTTGAAGAAGAGGAGTCAGTTTTGAAGCACGAGACAAGTTTCAACCAGTATAACGAAACAGAAATAAATGATCTGTTAAGTTCAGGGCAGCGTGTACAATGTAATGTCTGTAGCAAATTATTTACGTCCAAGTATTACCTTAAAGTTCATATCAGAACCCACACAGGTGAAAAGCCGTATTCCTGTGGTATTTGTGGTAAATCATTTAAAACTAACAGCGATTTATACCGACATATGAGGACGCATACTAAAGAAAAACCATATAGTTGTGATATTTGTGGTAGATCGTTCCGAGAAACAGGTAATTTAGCACAACACATGCGAACTCATACAGGTGAAAAAAGGTACGCCTGTGATGTTTGTAGTAAGCCTTTTAATCGGAACAGCGACCTTCAGAGACACAAAAGATGTCATTCCGGAGAAAAACCATACAAATGCGGTCTTTGTGGAAAATTATTTGGCGATAACGGAAATTTACGACAACATCTGAAAACTCATGCGAATGAAAAGACATTTACATGTGATGTTTGTAGTGCATCGTTTAAGCGGAATAGTGACCTAAAGAGACACAATATAGTTCATGCTGGAGTGAAGCCATATACATGTGATGTTTGTGGTGAATCCTTCAGTGAAACTAGTAATCTAGGACAACACATGAAAATTCATACATGTACGAATACGAGTGAAAAAAGTTATTGTTGTCTTGTTTGTAGCAAATTTTTTTCAAATAATAGTCATTTACAAAGGCATATGAAACTTCACACTAGATAAAAAATTTTTTACATGTGATGTTTGTGGTATAAATCGTTTCGTCAAAGTGGACCTCTTAAAGGAGTTAAATCGCTAATATTTGGGAGAGAGACAGAGAGAGAAATGGGGTTTAACGTCCACTCGACACAAACTAGGTCATTTCGGGACTAACATATGTTTTTTTAAAATTTTATTTACATAATTCGCTTGCGCGTAGGGGTCTTTAGCAGTGGGAGGAAACCGGAGGACCCGGAGAAAACCCACAAGGTTGGACAGGCGACCCTACTCCTTGTCACGTACAACCGGGGATTCGAAACCACGCCAGTTGACTCAATGACAGACTTTATGATACAGCGCACGCACGCTAACCATTCAGCCATCCAACCCCCCCTCTAATATTTGGGACCTAGAAATGGACACAAATGGGTCGCAACGCATATAATACTGTAATATGAATGTATATAAACTGATTTACATTCAATCGTTTCTGTTTTTACTGTAATTTCTAATCAGTTATGTTCGGCGAAATGCGCCAAAGTCTCAGCGTCTGGTTATTCAAGTCTACACCGATGGTATTTATTGCGCATGCTCTCCAGATAAGAATATAGCGTCACTATTTGACATGACTTGTGGAATATGTCTAGCCACGTTCTTTGAGTTTCTTGTTCCAAATGGCACTGAAACGCATTATGGTGCACGATTCGTGTACCAATGGTAAAATGTTTATTTTGTCTTGAATATTGGATATCAGAAGCCCATCTTTTCCCTGTAAGATCACAAGACCAATGTTGATTTGAATTGACAAATAATTCGTGTTTTCAGTGTCGAAGATTTTTGATGATATTGAGTTACATGTAGAGACTTAGCTACTTTAAGAAGCAGGGGTGGGGGTGGGTGGCTGAATGTCATTGAGTCAACTGGTGGGGTTTCGATTCCCCGAATGTACGTGGCAAGGAGTAGGGTCGTCTGTCCAACCTCGTGGGTTTTCTCCTGGTCCTCCGGTTTCCTCCCACTGCTAAAGTCCCTATGCGCAACAAATTATGTAAATAAAATTAAACCATATGTTAGTCCCGAAATGACCTAGTTTGTGTCGAGTGGACGTTAAACCCCATTTCTCTCTCTCTCTATGAATTGAATAACTACATTTATATCATCATTGTTTAATCACTGTCTAAAACTGTATTATGTCCTGATGATGCCCCTGTGGCGGAAAATATTAGACCAATCTGGTTAAAACACAGATCCAATTTCGTTTTTATAGTTCAAAATTTCGATTTTACTTGTCTTTACTACGCTTGGATCTGGAAGCGTTGTTATTTAACTCGTGTTCTGCTTGAAATGAGGGGTCAGCCAATCAAATGATCTGTCGAATCGAGCGTTTGACCTTTTTTGCGCGGAACTGTGGGTAGACATTAACGGCAATAGAAATCAAAACAAAGCAAAAGTAGATAAAAAAATATATGGCGGTCGCTAATTGGGTAATCAAATGACTGACGTAATCGGGTCAAATGTCACTTGCTTGGTACCTGACGTCATAGAACGTGAACTCCCACTACAGCTGGCCAGATCTTCATGTAGTGTAGGCCATCGAAAGTATAAAAAAGGAAACGAAACGAAATATACATGTAGATGTGTGTTTTAATCAGATTAATAACCATATACATGTAGTGGTTCAATTCATACTATTGTTTTGGGATATTTAATACTGAGAGTTGAAATCTTTACTTTTATTCTATACATGTATATATATACATGTAGTGGAAAATTTTTTACCTGGACATATTTTTTATTTATTGGGGGTTGGATGGTCGTATGGTTAGCATGTGCATGCTGTATCTCACGGTCTGTCATTGAATAAACTGTCAGGGTTTCCATTCCCCGGTTGTAAGTGACAAAGAGTAGGATCGTCTGTCCAACCTTGTGAGTTTTCTCCAAGTCCTCCGGTTTGCTCTCACTGCTAAAGAACCCTACGCATAAGCGAATTATTGAAATAAAATTGAACTGTCTGTTAGTCTCGAAATGACCTAGTTTGTGTCGAGTGGACGTTAAACCCCATTTCTCTCTCTATTTTTATTTATTTATGTGTATATACAAGGTATTGTAAGAGTTTGTGTTCTTGAACCATATACAATATGTTAATTTGTATCCAATGTTTGTTTATATCTTAATGTATTGAACTCTTGATTAAATAAAATATTTAAACCAGCAACAAAAAAATGTTTTATATAAGAGCAACATGGAGGGGAAACCCCCAAAAAGGTACAGTAATAGTGTTTTAAAGGATCTGAGGGACATGTAATGTAGCTTTACATGAGCCATAGTAATTGACCTTTAAAGTGGCTATGTTAATATACATGTACATGTAGCTTTAAAGTGATTATGGTAATATAGCTTTAAAGGATCTAAGGTAATATAGCTTTAAAGTGGCTATAATATATAGCTTTAAAAGATCTAAGGTAATATGGTTGAAGTGATTGACCTACATGTGTTAAGTGATCAAAGGTAATATAGCTTTAAAGTAGCTATGGTCATATAACTTTAAAGTAGATTAGGTAATATAACTTTAAAGTAGATTAGGTAATATGTAGCTTTAAAGTAGCTATGGTAATATAACTTTAAAGTAGATTAGGTAATATAACTTTAAAGTAGATTAGGTAATATGTAGCTTTAAAGTAGCTATGGTAATATAACTTTAAAGGATCTGTGGTAATATAACTTTAAAGTAGCTATGGTAATATAACTTTAAAGTAGCTATGGTAATATAACTTTAAAGTAGATTAGGTAATATGTAGCTTTAAAGTAGCTATGGTAATATAACTTTAAAGGATCTGTGGTAATATAACTTTAAAGTAGATTAGGTAATATGTAGCTTTAAAGTAGCTATGGTAATATAACTTTAAAGTGTAGCTAATTTAATATGTAGCTTTAAAGGATCTGTGGTAATATAACTTTAAAGGATCTGTGGTAATATAACTTTAAAGTATCTATGGTAATACGTAGCTTTAAAGTAGCTATGGTAATATAACTTTAAAGTGTAGCTAATTTAATATGTAGCTTTAAAGGATCTGTGGTAATATAACTTTAAAGGATCTGTGGTAATATAACTTTAAAGTATCTATGGTAATACGTAGCTTTAAAGTAGCTAAGGTAATATGTATCTTTAAAGTAACTAAGGTAATACGCAGCTTTAAAGTAGATTGGGGAATATAGCTTTAAAGTAGATTAGGTAATATAGCTTTAAAGTATAGCTATGGTAATAATTATAGGTTTCAAGTGTCTAAACTACCCTTGACTCAAGCCTTCAATGTTTTGAGTTTGAATCACAGATTTATCTCAACTTGGGCTTTATTGAATCTGGCTCCAGTGAAAGACTCCGAATTCCCACCCCTCCAGACCTAGCCATGCACCTTAACGGAGCTAAATTGCTAATATTTGGGACCTAGAATTTGACACAAATGGGTCGCAACCCCACCCATCTAGACCTAGCCATGCACATTAAATAAAGGAGCTAAATCGCTAACTTTTGGGACCTAGAATTTATCACAAATGGGTCGCAACACCACCCGTCTAGATCTAGCCATGTACGTTAAAGGAGCTAAATCACTAATATTTGGGACCCAGAAATTGACACAAATGGGTCGCAACACATATAATAATGTCATATGAATGTATATAAACTGATTTACATTCATTCGTTTCTGTTTTCTCAGTAAATTCTAATCAGTTATGTTCGGCGACATATACGCCAGAAGTCGCAATGGAATGGCTATCTCTAGCACCTGGTTATCCCAGTCTACACCTCCAGATAAGAATACGGCGCCACCTTTTAACATGACTTGTGGAATAGTCTATCCTCGTTCTTCGAGTCCCTTGTGACAAATGGCGCTCGCTCTATCATAAGGCCTGTCATTGAGTCAACTGGCGGGGTTTCGTATCCCCGGTTGTACGTGACAAGGAGTAGGGTCGCCTTCCAACTTCGTGGGTTTTCTATGGGTCCTCTGGTTTCCTCCCACTGCTAAAGACCCCTATTAGATATCAGAAGCTCATCTTTTCCTGGTAAAATCACAACATCAATGTTAATTTAAATTGACAAATAATGTGTTTTTTCAATGTCGAAGACTTTGGATGATATTGAGTTAGAGACTTAGCTACTTTAAAAACGACAGTCGAAATTCAATTAAGTGTACGTATGAGGAACTGACAGCTATAATTAAATGTGGAATCGATCTGGGTATTGCAGCAATCATGCCCCGAGTTCACAAAACATTCTCAGACTTTTAAGAATTTACTCAAAGAGAGGCTTAATGTGATGAAGTTTGTTGCGAGCGGCCATAAATGAAATGATTTATACATGATTAAAAATCGCGATATGGTATTAGGTTGCGCCAAACATATGCGGATTTGTTCACAGAAAAAAATTATATGCATAAATAAAAACAATATCACAGAATGTAAAAAAAAAAGTACATCTATCTGCAACTGTATGTAGTAAGCGACATGTCTAATGTTTGTTACATGTTATTTTAAATGTATTTGTGAAAGTCCCAGGTGAATATTTCTTGTCGTGGTGACAAATGGAGTCTTGGTGACATAATGATAGTGACGGGTGTATTTTCTCCTCTTGGTGACAAATGATAGTCTTGGTGACATTGTATATAGCACCAAACTGACATGAAGTATAGGTGACGAACATATCGGGTTAAAATGATGACAATCTGTAAGAATACTCATGATTTTAAGCTACTGTACTTTCTAATTTGGAAAAGAAATGAAATGGGGTTTAACGTCCTACTGTTCTGCTCCTATACTGGGCTATTGAAGACAGGCATACGCCATACAGTGTGCTATGAGGGAAATTTTGCCCGGGCAGCGGCACTATCGCCTACTCTTATATCGAATTCCAACTGCCAAGGGATCTTTTACGTGCATTCCAATGTATACACGGGACCTCGGTTGTTCGTATAATCCGAAGGACTAGACAGCTGTCCTTGTCAGACCCTCCGTTCTGCACCACTGACAAGGGTAAACCACGTCGGAAAATCCCGATGAACTTTATACAGTACGGCCGTCGCGATGGTTTGACGGGACAATATTATCGTGTCGTTTTTTGTTGAAATATGCCACGAAAATGTCACGATAAATAACTCGGTGTAGAAGTTGCGATCGTGTGACAAGATAGGACTTGGTGTAATTTGATGATGTAAAATTAACGATATGTATCTGTCATAAACAACTAATGTCAAAAAGATATACTGCCGATGTTTGAAATATTGAATAGTTTCGTCAATAATCCTGACGTGAAGAGCCACTCTGTATAGAAAGAACACACATGTACATATGCCGTTATATTTCAACGGAGTTTCGTAAAGCTGCATGTCTAGTGAAGAACACGCACA